ACTATTAGCAAATGAGGATGCTGAGGTTTTGCCGTCGTAGCTAGTCACTTGAGAGGCTTGGGAGCAGTGCAATCTCGAGCCAATGGCCCATCTCCAAGCAGCAAGCACATTGATTCTTAGCAAGTTTGGGCTTAGCACACCCAGATACCACAGAATTTTGCCCTTTCTGGGCATTTGCAGCTGCAAGCGGTTTTGCCACCTTGGCATCACCAGAAGCCTGCGAAGCATACATAGCTTGCAGCATTTCAGCTCTCTCACTTTGCATGGCCTTAATGTTGTGAAGACTCCTCATGGCATTTGCCCAAGTCATCTCTGGTTGGAGAAGTAGGCTCTCAACTGCATTCTTCCAGCTAGTTGGCAAGGACATGTAAAGCTGCAGCCTTTGCTGCTCGTCCGTGAGACAGTGCTTTGCCCTAGCAGCTGCAAGTTGTGTGAAGAAGCCTTGGAGCTTGGTAGTGTGAGTCTGGATACTGCCATTTTCCTCTAGCCTCAAGGAATCCATTTGTGAATGGATGTTGAAGACATCCATTTCACTCTTGGTGCCATAGGTGTCGCTCAGCCACTTCCAGAGCTCTGCCGCAGTGGACTTTAGAATCAATGGGGCAGCAAAGAGAACATTTGAGAACAAGCACATCGCAAGATTCCCTCTAGCCTTGGAATCCCGAAGGTTCCAATCACACACCTCAGCAGCGCTAGAGCCTAGAGCCGGTGATGGCTCTGTCCCATCTACAATCCCCAACAAACTATGAAACAAGAGATAGGATTCAAGATGGATCTTGAATCCCTCAAACCCTTCTCCATCAAACTCACGGATGGATGGCTTTCCTTCCATAGCACTATCCCAGCTCCGATACCATGAGACAAATCGGGATCAAAGCGCACCATGGTAGCAGACAGAATAGGAAAACCCTAATGTCTACGTGGCGAGGTGTGTCATGTAACAAGAAACTCTTCAGGCTAGCCTGCGTAGTCTTGAGATTTGGGCAAACATGAAGTATAAGTTTGGGGACACCATAGTGCAAATTTCATTGGCTAGTGCAGATTTGGTTCAACTTCCCATTCTGAAAGAATGCGTACAGCAAATGCTACAGGAAGATGTCAAGGAGCAGGGACGGCCAGCAAGACAGTTAGCTTTTAAACTCCATGTGCTCATCGAAATGCTCGAGAAATAGGTGCAGGATGGCTTCCAGCATATGGAAGCTGCTTCAGAGCACTACAATTGTTGCTCTGGTCTGATTACTTACCGATTTTGAACCAAAAAAGATTCTTGAAGAAAGTCCGGAAATCGTTAAACAATACCAACCTCCTATGCCTCTTAAGAATCATGCAAGGCAAATCATGAGGGGAGGATATATCCTGGGCACTTCTACATTTTAAACCGGCTAAGAGTTCTTTGTTCCTAGATTACTACCTCAACTTTTGCAGTGTAGAAGTCCAGGCTCAATTCACTCTGGCTCTTACAATGATGAAACTGAAAGACCTTGAGCTCTTTATGTAGAGTGCATCGCATGAATACAAGGTGCTTCGAGGCTTTGTTTTTGAGGAGCTTTCCATTGCTTACACATGAGCTATGCTGCTTATGGTGAGGTACTATTTGTTTCTTACATTTACAAATTCTTGTTGTTGATAGGTTGATGATATCTACGCCGGGACCAGTAAGCCACACAAGTTTGTACTCTACTTGCTCCTGGTGGAATCCAACTATAACAAATTTGGCTTCTAGAGCTACCATGACAAATCCCATAGGGTAATAAAACAAGTTGTGAAAGGTTCGTTGCATATGCTTGCTCTGCAAGCTGCTCATACATGTAGGAATAAATGATGTAGGTATTCACCAGTGCAAAGCGCTGCTACGGTACAATGTTCCCGTTTTAAGTATATCCACTACTACAAAGCAAATAGGAATAATACTATTATTAAGCAAACTAAATATTGCTACATACAACATATTTAAAAATATATATTGTGAGTGCTTAGAATATGGAAAGG